TGCGATTACCAACCAACAGAGGCGTATGGACCGCTGGGTCGAGCACTTTCACTCGCAGTTCAACTGGCCTCCACCATCTATCAGTACATGCAGTACACCTAGTTGTTCACCCTGGCTCGTCCCACTGAATCCACCCAGCGAAGCGGAACTCTGCCTCGAGATTCGACGCTTGAAGCGCTTCAAGGTTGCCGGCTTAGACGGACTTCCTCCGATGTTGTTCAAGTACGGCGATGTGACGATCATTAACCAGCTGACCGCGCTGTTCGCAAAAATTTGGCATGAAGAGAAAGTGCTTTCCTCTGGGATGGATTCAGTTATTTTCCGATTTTCAAGAAAGGCGCTCGCACTTCATGCGCAAATCATCGCGGGATTAGTCTTATTTCGGTTGCCTCTAAGCTATTGACATCCATACTGCTTCGCAGACTATCCCCAATACGTGAATCATCCTACCGTGAAGAACAAGCTGGTTTCCGTCCTGGCCGCGGATGCGTGGATCAAATCTTCACGCTCCGCCAGTTCCTCGAACATCGCCACATCTATCACAGGTCCACTATTATTGCATTCCTAGACATACGTGCCGCTTTCGACTCCGTTGATCGACCTGCTTTATGGCGTGGCTTACTAAAGAAGAGGGTGCCAGAGAAATATACCGCCAACTTACGAGCACCTTACCTTCATACATTCGGCAGAGTGAGGGTCCATGGCAAGCTTTCCTCACAATTCGCTGTCAATAGTGGTGTGCGACAGGGCTGCCCTATGTCCCCATTCCTCTTCAACTTCGAAATCGAAGACGTTCTGTCGAATGCTCTAGTAGGTTTCCAACAGTTTGGCCTCGAGCTTCTACCGGGTGAGCGCGCGACCGATTTAGATTATGCTGATGATATCGCCTTACTTGGTGACAATCCTCAGACTATGCAACTCATTCTGGATCGTTTGGCGGTTGAAACATCTAAGTATGGCATGAGCTTCGCCCCATCGAAGTGTAAAATACTGCTGAAGGATTGGCTTTCACCTGCTCCCGTGCTCACTCTCGAAGGTGCACAACTTGAACAGGTAGATAGTTTCGTCTACATTGGGAGCTGTGTTTCTGCTGACGGCACTTTTAACAAAGAAGTTTCTCTTCGTATCGTTGAAGCTCGATCAGCATTTGTCAAGCTGAGGCACTTGTGGCGTCATCGCGTCGTCGCATTCTCACTAAAGGGCCGCATTTACAGCGCATCAGTGCGCTCAGTATTGTTGTATGGGTGTGAGTCCTGGTCGATTCACGTGGAAGACATGTGTCGTCTTTCTGCGTACGATAACGGTTGCTTAAGGAGGATTGCTCGTGTTTGGTGGCAACATCGAGTTAATAGTAATGACGTTCGACGTCGCATTTTGGGGAATGTATTTCCTTCAACAAACTGGTTTTGTTGCGCAAGTTAAGATGGCTCGGTCACTTCCTACGCATCGCACCTGAGCGTCTACCGCGTCGCGCTCTATTCGCTCGTCAATGACCTGGCTGGAAGCGACCGCGTGGTGGTCAGCCTTCCACTTGGCGGCAACACATGAAACCGCTGACGTCGTGTCTATCCGCTGTTGGACCCGTACGTCGTCCAGGATGTGGACTCAAAGATGAGGAGTACCAATGGCTTAGCACTGTTGAAGACATGGCCCGCAGCCGGAATCAGTGGAAGAATTGTGTACAGTATTGTAATTATTCACAAGTTTAATAATCTAAACATAAAATGACAAAATGGAGCAAAGGCGGCGTGTGAAAAACAAACTGAAAAGGTTTTGTTCCACTTTGTCAAAACGTTATATTCTTCCTACGGCATATTAGTAAGTGTGTTGCTCACCTTCAACTAGCATACTACTACTACTACTACTACTACTACTACTACTACTACTACTACTACTACTACTACTACTACTACTACTACTACTACTACTACTACTACTACTACTACTACTACTACTACTACTACTACTACTACTACTACTACTACTACTACTACTACTATACTACTACTACTACTACTACTACTACTACTACTACTACTACTACTACTACTACTACTACTACTACTACTACTACTACTACTACTACTACTACTACTACTACTACTACTACTACTACTACTACTACTACTACTACTACTACTACTACTACTACTACTACTACTACTACTACTACTACTACTACTACTACTACTACTACTACTACTACTACTACTACTACTACTACTACTACTACTACTACTACTACTACTACTACTACTACTACTACTACTACTACTACTACTACTACTACTACTACTACTACTACTACTACTACTACTACTACTACTACTACTACTACTACTACTACTACTACTACTACTACTACTACTACTACTACTACTACTACTACTACTACTACTACTACTACTACTACTACTACTACTACTACTACTACTACTACTACTACTACTACTACTACTACTACTACTACTACTACTACTACTACTACTACTACTACTACTACTACTACTACTACTACTACTACTACTACTACTACTACTACTACTACTACTACTACTACTACTACTACTACTACTACTACTACTACTACTACTACTACTACTACTACTACTACTACTACTACTACTACTACTACTACTACTACTACTACTACTACTACTACTACTACTACTACTACTACTACTACTACTACTACTACTACTACTACTACTACTACTACTACTACTACTACTACTACTACTACTACTACTACTACTACTACTACTACTACTACTACTACTACTACTACTACTACTACTACTACTACTACTACTACTACTACTACTACTACTACTACTACTACTACTACTACTACTACTACTACTACTACTACTACTACTACTACTACTACTACTACTACTACTACTACTACTACTACTACTACTACTACTACTACTACTACTACTACTACTACTACTACTACTACTACTACTATACTACTACTACTACTACTACTACTACTACTACTACTACTACTACTACTACTACTCAGGTAAAGATAGTTCACAAATCAAAAGCTATCGTAGTACAACCGTCTTGAGGGAAGTATATGCCGTTTATTTTGAACAGCGAGTGAAGCGAAACTCTCAGTCAAATGCAACATGAACCGTGGTAAACAACAATTTAAACGGTTTGGTGAGTAATCAGGAGTCAATGCGACAGATGTGTAAGTCAGTGCACTATTCTTCGTCGTAATAGTCTGTGTTCGGCAGAGACGACCGTAGTCACAGTATGAAAGATATCAGCCTTACTACAACTACGCAGCTTACATGAAAATGCAGGCATAGACCTCATGAAAAGCAACGGGTCACGCGTTCCTTTTCATGGCCATCGGGGATCAAACATGGCTTACGAATGTCATGTAAACGTCCCTAGATTCTCAAGGTTTTTAACTTTAGCTCCGTCAACGAACGAGAATCCGGGTTTCGAACTCCAGTGGATTTTTTTGTCACAACTCGCTCCCCAGGAATAGGAAAACAAATGAGGTTGATGGCAAGACAAAGTACATAGCTAAAGGGGTTAGGAAAATTGGGTAGCATCCACCTTGATGCAATACTATCGATTAGTTGCAAGAGAACGAATGCAGGACAATCACTGATTCTGTGCTTACCCGTAGTCCGATAGCGTCTCCGACCAAGGGCGCGGATCATTCACATCAGGAACCACGCTGAGCAAGTCTCTCGGTCAATTTCTCCATGTTTTTACACTCCGTTATCTACTGACCGCCTCGTGTTTTCGTACGGCTACTTGTGGTGGCAGCGTAAAACACACACCATGGGAAGAAATGAACAAGCATACAGAGGATGTGCTCTAACCAACACAAGTGGTTCAAGTTTAACAGACACCCCCAATGGATCCCGGAACATCACCTGGCAAACGCCTAATGCCCGACTTCAAACGGCTTGAGGCTGTCAAATGTGTCGCTACAGTGCCCAAAAAAGACGTATTCCTTACAGTTCCCTTTAAAGGTGGCGTTGCGTTCGAACGGTTGAATAGAAAAATCTGGACCGCAGTGGCCAAGACATTTCCAGCCGCCAACCTAAAACCACTTACCGAAACATGAACGTTGCTTCATGAGCGCTTGAAGGATAAACTCCCGGTTCGGTCCGAATCCTTTGTTTTATACCAGTTCACCTGCACCTGTGGTGCTAGGTATCTTGGAAATACGACCAGGTGTTTGTCCAAAAGAATCGCTGAATATTGTCCTGCGTCATTACGAAAAGGCACCGTAAAATCCATCAACAGTTCCGTTTTACAACATTTGGTTGACATTGAACATCAAATCCAGATGAACCCGTCGTTACAAGTCGTTTATACTATCCCTACACGCTACCCAACACAGTTTGAGAAACATCTGTTGAACATTTCTGAAGCCATTGCAATCAAGATACTAAAACCAGAGCTGTGCAAACAGCGCACACTGCTACAGGCTCTGAAATTGCCTTGGCTTTGAACTTGACATATGATCTGCCTTGATCACCTGCTTCCTAATGCGACAGTCTGATTGATCAAACCACTGATTTAGTTTTCATACTGCCCAGTTAATGAGTTGGTTGCTTTCTGTGCAAGCCTCTACGAGCTTTATTCTCTGCAATATTTTGCTTCAATATTGGACACGCCCGATGAGAATTATGGAAAAGAATATTCTTCTGACTCAAATGTGGATAATCTATGGACTTCGGTTTTGTTCACTTTGTGGTCCACCAAATGTGAACTACACTCCGCAAGAACCCGCGGCCATAGACGACTGATCCGTTAATAGCTCTAAGAAGGAAATAACCAGTTCTCTAATCCATACAGTAGCACAGCCCTTATTGCAGTGCTTTACACAAGTAAATTGCATAGTTTTGATTAAAAAGGGCAAAAAACCACATGTATCTGTTTTCGCCATCTTGATCAATCGCTACCGTAGGCGAGACATTATTAACTAAATACAGCAGGACGCAAACTTCTCTCCTCACATTGACATGGCGGTGCTGTAACAAGCATTTGAGTCGCTTCGCGTCTCCTTCTTCGGCGGCCCTGATCAGTTCTTCGCCTGCATGTTCCGCGGAAGAGTGATAATGAGCATGAGATGCATCTGCTGCAAAAAAGAGAGTAAAATTATGTATGTTAACTCCGGCTAATTGTGGCGTATGTCCTAGTTGAGGGCATGCTGATAACAGTGTCATTGCAATGTTAGCATACTATACTCATGTTTCGCTTTTGAAAGCCTGTTCAACGACAGTGTAGGAGGAGCAAGCGAGGGAGCGTTAGGTCATGTCCACAGTTCACTCCAAATCGACTAATAACTTGGCAAAACTAGCTATCTAGTCAACATCGAATTGTCCTGGGATTACCGCACGAACTGAAAAGTAGACATGTCAAGTACATGGGTATTATGGCAAAATTCGATGCTTTTATCCCAGTTGTGAACCTGATGCAAAATACTCAAGCATGTAGCTGACGAAACCAATTTCCTAGCTTAACACAGCATTTGTAATTAAAAGTTACAATTAAGCGCAACAGATGGACAATGGATGTCGCGTAAATCCATCTGAGACCTTGTTGGCACAATTTCTACCCATTTTTCGTGTCTGTTTCTGTCAGACTTGGTTGATGGCAACGGATGAAACCCTATGATGATGTAGGACAAACGAGGACAAGTAACGAAAACATAATATAACTGGAGGACACTCATTAGAGAGATAGATACCTACTGAGCGGCAAACAAGTACAGACGAGTCAGACTATTAGTTTACCCTTTCTCAAATGTGCAGCACCGCCATACTGTGACCCTCAAAGCTTCAACCTAACGCTAAGGAATGCCCACGACGAAACTACGCCTGGTTCCGCTTCATGTAAGAGACCTTACTGTTAGTTGAAAGGTCGGGTTTAACTCCATTTTGCTTGAGGGGAACAAGAAACATAGAGGTTTGGAATTGGAATCAAGCAAAATCTATCGCAATCGAGTGAATTATGCTCAAAACCTTTCCTAGGAAAATTTTCTTATAGTTGGTATGAATGCGGGACTGCTTTGTTTTAACCACATTCATATTACATTGTTTGATTTTTCTTGATTTTTCTATCTTGAAGACAGCTGACCACACTGTGTCAGCTGGATGCCGTACGGCAAGTCCGCACGACTTGTTCGAAATACAGTTTTGCTATACTAATATTCTCTTACCATCCAGCGTGATGTTAAGAGATCATCTGAGAGAATATTCAAACAAATGGTTTTAACTTGCTTGTGATATAGTCTGATTAAAAGGCGGTAATTTGAGTCACACACATTATTATTGCGTATCTCCGTCATTGTACTTTGAAATTCCTTTCGTTAGTGCCATTATGTTTCGGTTATAATCGTCATCATTCATTGTAGGATTAAAAATGTCCATTCGGTGAATGAACCAACATGTACAAACCCATGGCTCGTTTTAACGCAGAAAAGCTTCGAAGCGATATCAAGCAGGTCGATGGACTACGATGTATCTAAAAAGAAGTCCAATATTTGACGTGGGGAATATTATCTATTCCTCCAACGCTAAGGCGCCATTTCACGTCACCCATATGGGAGCTAAAAATAAAATTATGCGACTGCGGACATGGCAACCTGCTTATCAGGTTGTCCCAGTTACGGAACACATTGACTAGTGTTTACCAACTCATGAGTTAAAATAATATTTACAGTCTGGATATTCGTCAAACCTTTCTAGGGCCTTGCCTCACCTTGTCCTTCAGGAGCACACGAACTAGACTCGCAGTTCCTTGCTGACGATGCTAAGTTCGCAGAGGGATCCAATGTTGACTCATGGATTTCGTTGTACAATCCATACAACCTCCGCGGAATTTGTTCCCTGCGAGCGCAAGGTGCAAAGGAGCATCTTGGCGTCGAAGTATCCACCATCATACAGCCGCCGGACGGTAAAGTGTGGTTACACAGAGCTTCGAGGTTGCTAGCCTCATGCTGATTGACACAAAGGAACAGAACCTTATTAGCATACCAGTTAGGTCCTCATTTTTTAATGCAAAGCTAAAGGTTACCATTTAGTTCAGGCACCTAATGCAAAAAGGTGTAACAAGCATCAACGTACACCACTAAAATATTCGCGTCAGTGCTCACTTGACAACAACAGTCATGACATCAGAACGTCTCAATCATCTGTGGTTTTTACAAGGCATTAAAACTAAAGCAACCATAATTAGTTGTTTCTCATTTGTCACAATCAATTCACATGAAATATAATGAGACTGATTTTCCTGAGACCACCAGATGGGCAAGCCGAAGGAGTCCACCGGCGTGGCAGCTGATTGAGTACGTTAAGAAGACAACGGACTTCACTTCAGTTGGCTCTGAGCTTATACTGAGTGGGGATTAGTTACGTAGTGGACAACTTTAGGATCCGTGTTACTGTCCAACAGAAGAGGAATGTTAAACAGTAATATACAACACAGTTTTGTGCAAAGTGTGGGCACTCGGTTATCTGGGCGCCCCCTACCCGTGATGCAGAAGTTTGCGTTAGTAAAAGCACAACTCGTTCATTATCGCAAGATTTCCAACACAGAAAGAAAGCGTTGTAACCATGAAACGATGGATTATGGTGGGCGCAAAAGCATAAGCTTCACATATCCCGTAGGTTGGTAAAGGAAGGAATTGGAAATGTGAATAGTACACTAGTGGACCAAAGAAAATGGGCATCTGTGAATCGATGGAGTTATTGATTAAAAATTTTAGGGTGGTACCATGCAAAACGGGTTAACAAGTTCTTATGGTTAATGTCTATAGCAAATGGTAATCGGGTTGCTCACCCACTTAAACAGATGTACATGCGTCATTAGACTTACAGTTTCAAAGAGGCTAGTTAACCTGAACATATCCAGTGTACTCCTTCATGTAACCAAGTGGATGGAACTCAATGCGATATTCAAACATTTTTTGGAGCAAGAAGTAAGTTCGTCTACAATCTAGACAATTGTGTTGTTGACCCCGTTTCAGGCTATTGCCTCTTTGGTTGATGTTCGCGCTGAGTTTCGAAATGTGGCGGCATACGTGACTGGGGTCGCTCAGTATTTGGTAAACTAATATGGGTTCTCCACGTAGCCGCCGGTAGCGTCCACCATACACTCCGAGTGTCTTCAATCATTGCTGGTACAGAAGTTTATGCTTTAGCCAAGTCTACAAAAGCTGGATTGCGTATTCGGCGTGGGGACGCACATAGGCATTGAGTATCCGAGAGAAAATGGATGAATCCAAACTCCCGAATGCCATTCGCAAGCGACCAACATGCTGGCTAACTCTTTGTAGAGGACTCTGACTGTCTGGAACAATCGAGGTCATCCTGTACCAGCACACCGACGTCACCTTACTGAGAGTTTGTCTGTAGATCGTGCGCTTCAAATTTGTAGTTATAGGCGTACCGATGACGAATGTGGACAACGCGGCACTTATTCACCATGAATGACAGTTCGTTCCTCACCGACCAATGCCATGCCTCATCGAGGTCGCGCTGGAGGATCTCCTGGTCCTCTATTCTCTTGATCGTCCACAAAAGTTAAACGTCGTCCGCGAAGAGCAAAAATATTGTTGTGATAACCCTAGCTAGATCGTTAATGAAAACTAAATACTGGTGAAGCCCAAGTACCGAACCCCGCGGTACGCCGCACTCCACTCGAATCGAGCCAGAGAGAGATGTTCGGATTCCAACCTCCAATTGCCGTGCACGGGAGTAGGTTACAGATCTATCCTAATACTGGATCTCCGATACCGTAGTGCTGAAGTTCGTGAAGCAGGATTCGATGATCCAACCGATAGAAGGCTTTCGTAAAGTCCATGTAGATAACATCGGTTCGTATCTCTTCATCGACTGTTTCGGTCCAGTTATCACGTGCTATCAGCAAATTTGTGAAAGATGGTCGATGTCGATGAAACCCGTGCTGCTCCAGCGCAATGATGCTGTAGCTTCCTAGCTATCCTGTCAGTACGTTCGCGATGATCGCTTCCATGACTTTGTCGAGAACATGGATAGACGTTACTGGGCGGTAATTGGCAGGATTAGATCCACTTCTTTGCATGTGAATGGCGGTTATAATGCCCCGTCTTCATGTTGACGAAACTAAGTTTTCGTCTAGACAACGCTGAAAGCACCCGGCAAGTGATTCGGCTAGGTGCATGGCTGCTGGTGAATGTTATCCACTCCAGGAGAACTGTGTATGCGCAAGGAAAGTAGCTTTCTCAGCACCGTTTCTGCTGCGGAGCTAATGCTGGTCAAAACTGATGGTGTAATGACATAAGCAGTAGGTGCCCTCGAGGCTTGCACCTCTTGGAAAGTAGGGCCCATAAGGCGCTGGCCATCTCTTTTGCTGTGTGCGCCTACGCACCAACCGAAGAGAGTGGTGGGATTCCGCACTGCACCTTATGAAATCTATTCACGTGTCTATAAAGAAGCTTATGGTTCGAACAGAATCGTTCGCTAGCTCCTGCTGATATGTTAGCTTGTCTTTACGAATCAACTGCGCAGCGTAGTCGCACTGAACAGCACACGTTGCGCTGGGATAGTATTTGTAAACGCGCTGTCCGATCCCTTAAGGTCACAAATTTTGTGTTCTCAGAAAACATTTTGGTCTGAGGGGAAGGTGGAAAACTTTTGGCTCTGATGATTCCGCTACTATTGACGTGAGGGCTTATGTGAATGTTTATCAGCTTATTGCTAAGGTGGACTCAGTCATGAATGTCCAACTAGCGTCTTCAATAAATGCGAAAAATACGTGCTAACGTGTAATAAATTGAATCTTTTCGGGTTCTGCATTGGGATATTCGGCAGAGTAAATGTAAGAGAACAGTGAACTCAGGTGATCGCTTCGACCCAAAGGACTGTATATATTTAGCCCATTAACCATGTGGTCCTCGCTAGTGAGCACCAGGTCTAACATTGATGGCTTATTAGCTGCTCTGAATCAGGGGAGAACGGTGACGTGGTTGTATAGGAGTGCGCTGGAATTAGCTTTCACAAAAAGGCTTTGAACTGTTCTCCCACGGATGCTGGAGTTTCGAGATCATGGATGTTGTACTCTCTTGTAATGAGGTTATGGGTGTATTTCTGAGTTAGCACAATACGAAATACAGATATTAGCCTGTGTTCCATCTCCAGAGTGGATTTGGGCGGTCGGCAAACTACCGACAGAAGGCATGTGTCATCGTCCTTTAAGCAGTTTCCAGTAGAGGGAATCAGTACCACATGTTTGGGGATCATCTATGAACTCACAGCGGAAAAGTGCCATACCGGGTACAGTGATCACAGCGTCGATAATTTCACAGATCGGCCAGGTTTTAGTGTTCATTATGATAAGACTCTGAAGTTTGGCGGTGACGGCCAACTTATTAATCAGGCCTTGAGAGCTAGTATACAAGCAGTTCAGTTTCACAGTAACGAAAAGTGCGTTACTGGACGTTGAACGAAGAATAGGGATTGTGCGGACCGTTGAGGGGTCGGCCATTAGTTATTTTTGGAGGAGTCGTTGACCTTGGAAGTTCGGTTGGGTTGCACGACTACCCTCAGCTATTATGGCCCTGATGGTCACCCGTGATTGATGTTATTCCGTCAGATGCTGCGTTTGCCATTAAATCAATCTATTCACCAAGCTGTATATGGGGAAGATTGCCCAGGTTGATTGTTCCCAATGAGTCGTCAGTCACCCGTTGCCGTGTACCCGCTGCCCTTAGCCAATTTTCCAATATAAGCGGCATCACAAGCTCAAACGGAATCATCACCTTCATCGGCTGGGATCATAACCCTTGTAGTTGGATGATACTGAAATTGTTGCCAATGGCTTTGCAACAATATTGTCGAAGTAAAACTCCCGGTCGTGTGCTTGCGCTTCCTCAGAGGATGATTTTTGAAACTCAGGGACACTGTAAACAATAATCCTCCCATTTTCGTCAGATTTAGTCTTCCTCAGGGTTGCTCTTCTCTTTCGGATGTTCGTTCCACCGAAGGTTCAGAAGTATGCACACCTCACGGAATGAGGTACGGATCAAAACGGGTGACTGGATGATTGCCTCTGTCGTCAGCGGAACTCAGCGTCACCCAGAGAACTCGAGGCTCACCGTAAATCACTGAATTTGGGTGACTTGGGACTTGTCTCAGTGTCATGGGATCAACCGAAATGCCGATTGCATCACAATTGGAATTCCACTGATTACGGCTGTTCATCAGTTTCTCGTATGTGGTACTAGACGGCAATTCCGGAGCATGGGTGTACACAACACTTAAAGCACTTGGTTTCGGTTGTCTGCAGGTTTGATGGTACTACTTGCTACCATTTTAAACGGTTTGCTCGGTTGTGGTATCTGCTTAATCCTAACACTGCTCGGTGCTGCTACCAGAGTCAGGGGTGTTCACTCCGGCGCTTGCATGGAAGCGACCGATGTGTACCATGTCCGCTTTTTATCTATGGTGGGCGAATTCGGGCTCGAAGTTGTGATCATCGCTATTGACTTGATGTGGGATGCACCGTTGAGAAGAGTAGAAGTAGGCACGCTCGAAACTTGTCAGCTTATGGAAGTGAGATGGGCCAGAGGATTTGGAGACAGACGATGCCGTGCCTTTGCAGCGTCTGGCTCTCTTCTTCGGCCTAGAAGCGGAGCTTGAGTTGGTTGGTTTAGGTATTAGTTTGGCCATATCTTACCTCCGAGAGTGCGATCATAGCATTCATTAAATGTGCGATTGCCTCAGGCAACCCATCGCACTTCTCCATCAGCGCACATAAACAGTTGACAACTGGAATGACTTGACATGTTGGACATAACCAAAGTGCGCCCGCTACTTTGTTTAGCTGCCTTAGTTCTTAAGGGAACTTTTCTATACATTTCGGATGGAACGAGCTGATGCAGTTAGAAGACGTTATCTCCAGATTAAGGGCTTTACCGCAATTATATGCAGAGCACACGCAGCGTTGCATCAGGTCTGGAAGGCTGGGTGTAATTTGTTGGGCACGTGCAGATCGTGAGGGTCACTGCGACTTCCCGAGTCGGCACTGAGGTGATGTTTACGATTGCTCACAAGCTGGTCGTTTAAACGCAAACGCACACGTTTGGTGAGACAGATTGGTCGGCTGCTCAATCGGTGGTAGTGCTTGACGAGGAAATTGGAGAAAAGGCTGCATGTGTCTGAACTGGATGTGAATGATGGGCAAACGATGGATTACAAATTGTTCCGTAACTGGGAACATTATGGATAAGCAACACCATAATGTTTCCATTCTCCTGAGTTCCAGCCCAACTCAGGCTATCTCCAACTGATGAGTCCCAACCAGGACGAAACCGCGGTCGTGGGGTTTCAGTGTTGGGATGAGCAACACCATAATGTTTCCATTTTACCTACGGTCCTTGTGATCGGAACGACCGAGGTCCACCCCAAGTGAACCGAGGTCTCAATAGAGGTTGCTTGTAGCAACCCAACCACAGCAGATTCTCCAAGTCCAACATTGTTCCGTGACTGCTTTGGAAAACGTCGTATATGAGCCAATCCGGGATCATTAGACGCATCAGAGATGGCTCTGTTGAACGTAGTAACACAGTTGCTTAAGTAACCAAAGTGCAATAGCTTTGCAGCCGCGTGGGTTTGAACGCAAAGGCTGGAAACAGCGAACATTGCTGGAACCGTGATTCGTAGAAACTACATCCGCGCAAGATGGTTTAGAGGATAGAGGAAATTAGTGCGATCCGAATGAGTGCAACTTGAATGTACTGCCAGAAAATGAAGAACAAACTGTAGAATAAGAGTGCAAAATTGATGCGGCCGCACGACGGGTCACACTAGAAGTATCGCACAGACAGATAAGATAAAAGTGATTTTGCACCGTGAACGATATCTGATTCCTACAGTAATAGTACATCAACTGTGACTCCTAAAGTTCATTCCGTATTAAAGCGTCACCGAAAGAAGATTTATGCAAAGATGATTCGCAGAAGTTTTGCCAATGAGAGGAAACTAGTGGGTCGATTGCTTGTGAACATTTGAACCGCGTGTGGAGTGAATCTGGTGTTTTAGAACAGCTGCTTACAGGTGGGAAAATCAGTGTCTTTGAGTGTGATCCGGACAAGAAAAGTGGTATACACAATGTCAATCCACAGAACCTCATAGAGTAAAGGAGGTTTGAGTGAGCAAATCAAAGACGAAGTATATGCTCAGCTTTCTTTACTCTAAATGTTTTGTTCATAAGGAACTTGTACCACATGGACAAACCGTTAATACAGTATTTTACGTGGAGAAGCATGCGCTGTTCAAAGAAGGAGTCGCACTGGTCTGCTCGGAAATAACTAACACCCTAGTTATTCACCAAGTCAATGAGTTGACTCATCTGTTCCAGATAGTGAGATACTTTCTGAGCAACCCTACCGAGGTTGCTCAAGCCTTCCTGCAGCATGGACTTGGCTAATGTCAATTTGTTTCGGTCTCACCTCCTCAGATCCTGCTTGAAAGGACCGCATTCAGGCACTTGTCAACTGGCATGGTGACTGCTTCGAGAGTAATTCCAACTTGAGACTTCCATGTAATTTACCACGTAAGGCAAAGTCTTGAGTATTAATGCACTGGTGCCTAAGAATGCTAGTTCGGAGAAAGTTAACCACCCTAAAACAAATGTGGTAGCATCCACCACCTTGCTTTCCTAATGGGCCGTGTACAATACATCGCAAAGATGCATGCGCTGCCTTTGGTGCTTCGTGTTAAGATGTGCTTCAAATATCGGGCAGAAGTTAATCGCTACGTGGTTTTAGCACAATCAGTTTACCTCTTAGTAATGCAGTTTTTGTGGTCGCTTAAATCTAGGTCCGGGTTGAAATCGCAAACCCCAATTATTGCAGTCCGAGTTCGTGTAAGTATAAATAAAAGTTTGATGACGGAAAAGGCACCCCATTGATAGATCTCAAATCAAACGCCCGTTAAAAAAGAGCTTGTGGTTACTGCGTTCGCTGTTTAAATGTTGGACAAGTAAGCAGATGATAGAGCAGAAGAAAAAGAAACACATATATCGTCACCTTTTTCAACTCGCTTGTATTTTTGTTATCCTGACAGGATGACACTGGTTGACGTCGGACTTTTGTCATTAAGCAAGCAACATCTATGTTAGCGAAAACTTTCTAACCTCATCTCAAGTTTTAATTGCCGCACAATTGTTCAAATTTCGAGAAACAATTAATAGAGGTGGTTCTCTGGTATACTTTGAAACTTTTGTTAAGCAATGCACTAACATCTCAAAATTCTTTCCAAAAATGAACAGCACTATTTTCCATAACTTTACTACTGGATCAAAGGTATTAGATTGTTATACTTACTCATACTTGATTGATTCATAGGCTCTCCTCAAGTAGAAATTCTCTAACTTCTTAAACATATTCCGCACTGCATTACTTCATGGTCAAATTCGATCTCAGTTTCGATTGTCACAAGTTAAGCTCCGTTATTTAGTGGGCTACTACCATGAAGTATCGAACTCGAGCATCCGACGTGTCATCTCTTCTTGAATGGCAGCACAACGATGATGCATCAGTCAGAAGATTCAAGGGAAACCAATGGGTCAAAGGCTGTAATAAAGCACAGAACCGTTGCCTTAAGCATGGTTTGAGATATAAATTAACCCACATTTTGACGGAAATAAGGCGAGTTTAATTCAGTTTTCCAGAGTCCTTATCAGTTGGGCCTGCAAATCTTTCATAAACAGTACGAAAAAAGTTGTTGTATATCTGCAATAAAGTTAGGATTCCAAGTAGGACCGTTTAACTAATGAGGACCCACTGAATTCATGCTTGCCAAGAGGCAAGACATGAGGATACTTGATTTGCAATTACTCGATGAAACATTTTGCATAATTATCTATCGGCCACACCCAAAGTTGTAATTAGTCTGCTGCCGTAAAAGATTAACGCTTTAACCGGGATGGCTAATTTCTGCCAACCCTAGTCTAGAATGAAGTGCGACAATTTCTCGATCTTCTATTTTTCACTGTGAACATGCAAGAATGGATTCACTGACCGGTCGTCGTTGTGGTTGGGCAGAGTTGTCTATTCCTGTTCCTCTGTCCTGGTTACTTCTCCCGGAAGCAGCCATCTGCCTGACGTTGCGGTTGCGACTGACTGTCCCGCAACTGATTCTTCGCGGTGCTGGTGGGCTGGTTACAGAGGATCTGTGATGGGTAGGCAACCGATTCTGCACCGTTACCGTCGAAGAAGCACAAGAGTTGGCTCGCAGTAGGTCAGTTAACAAACTACGTGCCGTTTGACCGAATGTGCGAAGACCACCTCCAGAGGAACTCGGTGTTCTACCAGTCGATATATCTTCCACTTCTGAGCCTTGTGAGGAAGATGGGGTCTGAATATGCCTCTGAGCATGCGCGTGACGCCCTGTGTTATTTCCTCGGCAATCCACCATAGGTGTCGGTTGAACCTGCAAACGGCTGGCCAATGTGCAAACATTCAAGCAGCTTGAGGCCGCTGGCTCATGTCCACTTTGTGTTCTGTCAATGTCCTGAACTGCGAACTCAGTGATTCTGCATCTACTTGGCTGTTGCTCACTTGCTGACTCTTCTTCTCTGATACAATTTGAACGCCCTGTGCTCACATGTCCATCATTAAATACCGTTGTCGTTCGGCGGCGTCTGGTCTCCAAATCTTGCAGGTTTGTCACGTTTGGTATCGGTATGCTTCCGCCCGAATCACGGTACCCATCGGTGACGTCCTCTTCCCCTGTGCACCGGTTCCGCTCTTCCAATCTTTGACACGTATCTTCGCCTGGGCAATCTCTAAGGTCCGCCAACAAGGGAAGATGATCGACGTAGTAACTGCCCCCTTTAGAAGATCGGATCGCCTGAGATGATGGAAAACGCATAACAGTCGTATTAATGCAATACCATAGGACAAATACAAATGAAGTTGGAATAAGTAATCTTTTGGGAATAAACAATAATGGTCGACCCATAAGAGTGTAGTAAGTAGTCCTGCTGTTTATCAAACAAGAACACCGGACCGACGGAGCTGTGGTTTGAAGAGCTGAGCAAATTTCTTTAGTGTGTTGTTCATATGTGTCCTACGTTCGTAACATGCCGATGGGAAGTCATAAACTTTTGCTCATGCAATTTAATGAAAGCTATAGGTATCAGAGCGAATTGTTAGAGCCAGTCTGCTTTTATTAAAGTTCGATTTCAATGATAAAGCAATCAACTAAATGACACTCCTCAAGCAACGGACATCTGGGTTTTGCTAAGTCTGGGAAATTAGTTTCTCTGCTAGTCTAAGGTGTATTGCAACTTATCAAGTTAAAGCCAGTATTTCCATGCGCTAGTGTGGTAGGAAGTCCATGTTTGTTGGCACAAGTTCGATATACATTGGCAAATTACCAAACATAGGAAATGCATCCAGCACATTGGAGTAACAAAAGCTTAGCGCACTTTGACGGTGACGGCATGAGTAAATGGAACATTGTCATTTCAGCAAATCCCGGCGACCACATCGAGCTCCGCTTCAGGGCACAAAGGGATCACACAAAAGACTTAATCGTAAAGCCACAGTCAAGCGGTGAGTTCGAATTCAGAGCGACTTAATACCAAAAAGTAAAACAGTCAGCAGTATTGCTTAACTGATGCGCCGTCTCGGTAACTATACCAACAAACAACACAAGCCATCGGTGCTGTGGCTGCTTTTAATTAATTGATAGAATGTCTGCAGTTGAAAAATCCTGGTCATCTTTACTTAGGGAAAGAAAATAAGTTCGCAACCTATCGTTCAATCCGGTCTTATAAGCGGGCAACATATGTATCAGCTGTAGGCCGTAGCGGCGCTGCGCTGTCGTGCGACCACCAGCAATCGCACGCGGGCTGAGTATACCGAAAGGACGCCCACCCCTACGCGGATTCGAACCAGCGCCGCAAGATTACGAGACAAGCTCATTACCACTAGGCTACGGGCAACATATGACACATATCCATTTCAGATATGGTCCCAGTCACCGACAGAAAAGTCGAGATTCAATTCGTAGTAAACCACTGCCTAAATTGATGTTGCGAGTCACAACCAGTCGACTGTACGGTCTGTGTAAACAGGCCTTGAAATCATCATATAAAACGATAGTTGGAACAGCAGCCACAGATTATAGTGAGCTGCAGATTCCCTCAATTTAGTTTCAATGCGTCTGAGTCAGTGTTATGCATGGGAGCGAGTTGCTCCCCTTTACCTTGCTCGACCCTATGTTCGGCCATAATAACCATTTTCAAAGATTCAAGAACAAGCAACGTTTCAGCGGAATGGTCTCAATTCAACATGTTTCGTCAGCACTCGTCAGCCCCTTACATATTTGGACGCAAAATTCAAGCTGTGGAGAGTGGGAGATCAATACCAGAAATCAGCGATTAGTCGTGCCAATGAACCTCTCGCGCCCGACCAAGGGAAAGCAAGGTTAGTCAAAAAAATTAATATGTTTGCATAAGTTAAGCTTCAAACGTTGGATGGCAAAAGCTTCAGCAAAATGCATTAAATTTGGAATGTTCCGTCTATTGATGATGTTGAATGATTCGCAAGGGTTTTGGCACATTAAGTAAGTGCAAAAGTGCTAGCTGGCAATGTTGCACCGATCAAAGCGGAATGTGTCCCGAAACTCGGGTAGACAACCTCCGCCCTGTCCGGTTAATGTACACTCTACACCATTTTACACGCATGTTAGCGCATTGTACAAAGCTTTCAGCGTAGCACATTTTCGAAATCGCGTGCAGTGCTGTCAAGTTAGCGAGGTTTCCTTCAGATAGGCATCAAAATAGAACAGAAGGTGGTGCTCTACCACTTTCATTGGGCTGTCTGTCACTTATGCTATGGGCTTCCAACCGGTATCCCACTGGGTAACGTCCCATGACCAATGATAGTGCCAACGACTTCAAAACAACGTTCTTAGCCTCGCTAACTTGAAAGCGCTGCACATGATTTCGAAAACGTGCCACGCCAAAAGCTTGGTACAATGCCATAACACGCGTGTAAAATGGTATAGTACAAGCACAGTTAACCTGGTAAACTTATGATTGAGGGAACGCCTGAGAAGTATGTCAGCTAGCACGGTTGGAGCAAGCCTACAGTAACGGATTGGAACACTGGCCAATCGAACGGATTTGCGCTGACCTGATGGCGTTAGCTTAGCCCGGGGTACGTGCTGGTGAGACGGAAATTGAGCGAGCGTGAGAACGATCCTAGCCGCACGTATTCGGGTAGACAATGAGCCCTCGGAACGGACGCACACGAGAGGGGGTTAAGGTCGACGCGCGCAAGTGGCTTAGGCGCGAAGGCTGCCCAGCTAACGACGCACACAAAATCACGTGACCCGTCCGAGTCCCAACTACGGCGAAGAGGAAGAAAGGCAAGTGGTCCTCGGAAGGCTCTTTTACGACCAACAAAGGGCGAAGCAAACTCAATGCAATGGGTCATTAAGTTAGGGAAAATTGCTACCACGACGGGGTGGTAGTTTGTAAAAGAACATTGTCAACGGGTGCGCAGTTGGGCCAAGTCTCGGAATGACTGAACACTGCTATGTTGTGGGGAGGAATTGGACCCCGCTTTCCACAGACATTACGCCGGAGTTTCTGGAGGGTTATTGCGTGGATATTTGACGGGCCCGAAATATAAACACACGAAGTGCTGATTTGATAGTGAAGCTTGTCCAAATCACATGCCTGCAGCAACGTTTTGTTTGATGAAGCACCACAAGTTCAGTCGTCTAATAGCACCCCTTTGTGGAGTGGCGTAAGCGATAGCAGAATCGTCTGTTATTTGGTTACCCTTTATGGGGTAGTAAAATGGAAACCGCCTGCTTTGGAATATCAGCCCATTTTTTCACGGGATGATTTCTTATCAATATCTGACACTAAACATGTCTGGGTAAGCATTCTTACTTAGAGTGGACGCGACACCCTGTAATTCTTTCACAATCACCTCTTCTGGACAGATGCGGCGAGCACTCACGAAAGAAGCGCGAATCAGGGAGCGCTTGTAGTTCAAGGAACACTAGCTGATGAAACTCAGGTGTTTCCCCGTCCGGCTGAGTTTGTGATAGGATGATCTTACGAGCGAGCCATCCTCTCCAAAGTTCCATCCAAGAAGTGGAACTTACCTGACGTTTCGCTTTCCATGGTTAACTACATCTCAGGGGCGACACCTGCTGAGCGTCGTCCACCGCTACAAAAGTGTCGTCAAGGTGTCGCGCGTAATTGTGTGCTTCCTGTATGCACAGACGCAATTTGGTCTTCTCTCTTCTTCTATTCTCTCCTTCTTCTCTTCTTCGCATCTGGGCCGTCTAGAACTGAGTTTGCTCTTGTTGCAGGATTGTCCTTAATTCCTCCGCAGTTATTAACATGTTGCGTGGGTATCCGTCGCTAAAGCATGCCAACGGAATCCTCTGTAACAGGCACGGTTGTTTAGTTCGAAAATACCGATAAATCAGAAAAACACTACGACTACTAATGTGGCAGCTTCAAGGTATTACACTAAAATCGCTAGAATACAACGAACATGCGGCCAATCGGGGCCAATATCGGCTCATTTGCTCTCGACTTCGAATCGCGCCACCGGGTTATCACAGGTGCGCAGTTAAGCAGTCTATCGGAGTGCATAATGCGCATCCGTAGCTGTTTGCACTTCACTACACTAGGTCGCTCGCTTTCACACTTCTGCTTCTTAGGACATCTGAGAAGCAAGTATGGAGAGCAGATGGGAGCAACAGACCTTCAAGCACCATACCTTAAATAAGTAAGTACTCACCATTCGCAAGCATAGCAATGAGTCATGAAAGAGTAAAGGTGTTGTCCAAAGCCACTAAACAGGACATCGGATCCAAATCCGCCAAAAGACCTTGACCTTTCCATCTTGGTTACTCCACCCTTTGGGAAATTGATGCAGCTCTGACGGCGTGTTAAGCGCTCTCATTCTGCTCTTACTGTGATTTCATTAGCTCACAAAACTGTGGATGCCAGAGTTTGACTGGTCGTGCCAAGTCACATAGGGGGCACACCACTGAAACCAGATTTGCTAAGGATGCTGAATTCGAAGCTGACGCACGAGATGCAATTTTAGGGGTAGCTTTTAAGGAAATAAATCTAGAAACAATGTTGCATATTATTAGTCGCTTTGTCTTTTAAATAAGAGTAACAATATTGAATCGGGAACAGTGCGACCTTGCTCGACAAACTTGTGGTCAGGTAAGGACTTGCGGCAGACACTTACAATCATGTCAGTTCACGTGGTTATATAGTCTGGCTGGATGCCCTTAGCATATACATCCTGGTTACGTTGACACATGGCGTCGATCGTGTTGACGCTGGCTGGCCGAAGTGAGATAAGTGAGAGCAACGAATCATGTTGAGAGGTTCAACGCAATGCCTTCAGCCTAAGGTGTGTAAAACGCGCACGGCTTCTATTGTTAGGGCAAAAATTCGAGGAGCCCTAGGTAAAAGACAAAGTTAGTTGTGCAAATTGTAGAAATTATGGCTAAGTATTTGGTACTGAACACGTTTATACAGCTCCAACTTCTACGCCTTGACACACCATCAGTTTTCCTGTGAATATTTCGCTTTGTATATTTGGCAGTTAATTTGAATTGAACCTGTTCACCGTACTAAACATATTTGTGCGTATTGCATTCCTGTGGGATGCTGATGCAGAGACTAAATTGACCGCATCATGTGGCACGGTAATACATAGCTCTTGCCTAAAAACATGCACAAATGGTTTCTCTTTACAGATACTTAATTACGTTTGAAAGCGTAAGAGGCAGTTCTGATGAAACGCTTTCGAATCTGGTACCACAATATCGCTCAGTGGTTTCAGACAACTGAT